ATTCGTCGAGCGCCAGCACCAGGAGCTGTTGGAATACCATTAGGTGCAGGTGCTGGTGCTGGTGGTATTGGCGGTTTGATTGGTGGTTTAGCCTTACCACTTCTTTGTCTTGGTTGCCTAGCATCACTAGCCTTACTAGGACTTTTTGCTACTATGATTGGTGCTACAGCTTATATGAGTAAATGAATATTTTCTTTTACTTCTAATATGAATTTAATTTCTATTGAATGATTTTTTTTTTAGACGCTATTCAACGACAAGTTCGTAGAAATGTTCAAGGTGCTGGTACAATGATTGAACTCAATATCGTCGTTCTCTTCTGTGCTTTTCTTTGCTCGATTTATATGTTATCAAAACATCGTCGTGGTGTTAGCACCTGATTGGTGATTCAATATATCTATTTAAACACCTTGATACACATTTAAACAACAAACACGCATATCTTTTGAAAGAACTATTTTTTTCGCAACACAACTATATTTTTCTTTCTTTTTTTTATATTTTGCGCGCCGGAAAAAAATGTCTTTTTTTTTTGAACAGGTACAATGCGTTATTATATTAACAATAATTGTCAGTCGGCATCGTCGTCGTCGTCGTTATCATTCCTTTTTTCCGAAAAATATCAAATAAAATGCTGCTAAATTGTTTCTATTATTAAATACATAAATGCCTGTTTTAATCTTTTTTTTTTCTGTCGCTTGTCTATTTTTTTGTCTATGAATTATTAAAGAGAAAATAAGAAAAATCAAAATATATGCATATTTTTATTTTGATGAAAGATGATAATAACTGGATAAGATTAGATTTTGACAAAAAAAATCGAATAAACATTCTCTAAAAAATGATCTACTCATTAAATTTAGATTTTTTTATTATTTTATTCATATGTATAATGTATTTGATTAAGTAATTTATTTAGCCACAATAAGTTGCGGTTGATTTTTTTCTTTTCAAATTGGACTCTTTTTGTTCTGTACAAACATGTATGATTATCATAGTTGAATTTTTATATCAAGGTCGATGCTCGTTTATTTGCTTGTATGTTCGTCAGAAACCTGTTATTCTTTTACGCGTACATGCGTTCGTTTTACTACGTTACGCTTGATTTAGTTTTTTTTTTGCCTTTTTTCTTGTCATACATATACATATTCATCATAAAATATGGAGGCTGATGTCTATAACTTGTTTCTCTCTTCGTGGTTTTTTTTTGGTAGTCATTGTAGGTAAAATAACTTTTTTTTTTATATAATATTTTATACTTATTGGTGAGAAATATATCAGTTCCTCTCTCTCTCTCTCTCTTCTCTCTTGTACTATCATGAAAGTAAAAAAAAATGCCGTCAACCATGACGTGAATGTGTATGGATGTGTCTCCTTCGGATGGGAGTAGATAGATAGATAGAGAGACATAGAGAGAGAGAAAGAAACAGAGTGTGAAGAAATACAGTGGCGTATTTTTTTCAAACAATAATTACCGTCGAGCCCTATATGCTTATGCTTGTACAAGAGAGGGAGAGAGAACACATCTACGAGGATTTAGCATTGATTGTTTGTTTTTTTTTTGTTGAAGAACAAAAAATGCTATCTTTTTTCATTGATCAAGAACCATTAGATTTTTCTTATATTCTCATTTTATTTCTAGATCTTAGTCCAGCTTTGTCTGAGAAATGTACCGACCACGGTAAGTACAACTTTATTATTATTTTTTTTTAATTTGTACAATTACATATGGACTTTTGATTTCAGACCTGTACTTCGTCCAGTAGCCCGTCCAGTTGCTGTTGTTGCATCTGGCGGTGGTAAAGGTGGTGGCGCAGGCGCACTTGGAGGAATATTAGGTGGTGTAGGTGGCCTTGTTACTTGTCTCTGCTGTCTATCAGCAATTGGTCTTCTTGGACTTTGGGCTACATTTATTCCGTTTGTTGCCTTTTTCAGTAAGTTATTTCGAAAAAATCTTTTTTTCTTCAATAAACTTAATTGGTTTCTTTTTTGTCTTTTTACTTTCTATTAGAATATGCATGGGATCAAGAAACAAGAGCTTATGGTGGCAGTCCTAGCATTCAAAATCTTCAACAAATTGTTATTCTTCTTGCTATCTGCTTACTGACAATTCGTTTTGTCAAGCGGCAAATGAACACATAAAATTAATTTAAGCCAAAGACTATTTTTTTGCATATCGAACTTCAGTTGTCGTCGTCATCGTTGTTGCTGTCAAATTTGTTCCACATCAATATGTACACGCGCGCTTTATAAACACAAAGAAATCGAGAGAGTAGAGCCGTCGTCGTCATCGTTATATATAATCGATCCCAAACACCACAGTTTCTCTTTTTTTTTTGTCTCGATCTCTCTACAATTTTTTTTGTCTTTTTTTTTTCGTATAATTTTTTTTTTGCTATTGAACAAAGCACGCGTCCGCATACACTGATCTCTTTATATTTTATTCAAGGTCAATTACAAGAAAGAATAATCAAAAATATCACAATCAATTGATGATTTGAGTATATTTATTATTTTTTTATTTAGAATATGTCGGCTTGTATTAAAGCAAATAATACAGAGAAAAAGGTAAAAATTGTATCAGTTAATTTTGTTATATGTGAATATAATACTTGAAAATTTGAAGATTAGAAACTCGATTGTATGACAAACGAAAAATTATATCGAATTTATTGTTTACCGTTTTTATTTCGACATAACACAAGTTATAAATCGGAAGTCAACAAGATTAGAAAGACCCTTGCGAATAGGAAGAATGGATATAAATTTGTTGTAGTTTGCAAACTACATTTGTTCACAGTCGAATAATGATGATGATAATAAACTGAAGTGTATAAATTCATTTCTAACATTTAATCATAGTCAAATACTCTGAAATTAATGTTTCATTGTTCATATCCTACAGGAATAATTTATTTTTCGTCATGTTTCCTACAAAAAAAAATTGCGATAACATAAAATATTAATGTTCGAAAATTTATATGTTTTTTTTTTTATCTTATTTTTATTTACATTAAGATTTCTTGAGATAAAAGTCTATTTGTATTTATGTAACTAACTATAGCTATGTAAATAATTTTATTTTTATTTTGACATCATATGTTACATTGTATAAAATATAATATCATAAGAAACTTCTATATACAATAGCGATAATTTTCATCAAACATATCAAATTTCATAGATATAAAATGTTAGTAAGTTTTACAAGAATAGAATAGAAGAAAACGAATATCTTTTTTCGAAAACGATAACAAAAAATATAAATTGAGAGTTTGTCTCTGAGGAACATTAATATTCATACACGTTTTATATACTTGTTTTTTTTTTGCGTTGGTACAAAAATACGGTAACACGTGAATTCATTTGTGTCAATATGTATATAATATATCATAATTAAAAATGTCAACCATTGCTTTTCATTCATTTTTTGAAAAATTACTATCCGACAATGACACAACGATTGTACTTCTGTTAGTATTAATACTGAATATAAAGAAACTTTATAGTTACCAATCTGTGTACTGGTTTACACGTCTAGTGAAAATAGCATTTTCTACATTCCTTTATGATTTGGGTACGTTTATTCTTTCATAGGATGACGTATTTTTTTATTAAATAATATTGTTCTTCTATTTTTATTCATTTGACGAATCAATTTTATTGTATATAATATTACCTTTCTTCTCAATTATCTATTTCATAATCGACTTGATGATTGTCTTCAGGTATTTACCAAGTTTCGTAATATCGAAAAACACTATGAATCGAAAACATTGCAATAAAAGCTGAAATATGTAAATACAATCAATATTTTCAGTCAGATAAATGAAATTTTGTTTGACTTAGACAAAAAGAAATCTTCGATGTAAGTATTAAGTTTTTGTTCATTTTTTATTTTTTGAATGAATTTCTTGATTAAATTTTTTCATTAAAACAGACAATCATACTTTCGTGATTAACAGAGCTTTTGATACTGTTAGACTCAAAGTTGAATCAAATTTCTCTATATTTTAAAAATACTCATTCATTACATAGAGTATATCTAAAATATTCTTTTTTTTTTCGAGGTATATGTAATTTGCATGCAAATTCTAAATTTATGTATGATCAAGTGTCGAACGCATTAAGTTATCAAAGAAAAGTGTTTTTTCAATTTTCAAAAGTAGACTTCTCAAAAAAGATCTCGAATTTTAGAGTTCACTATAAGAGATATCAATTTTTGCAAGCGTAAATACGACACATCTTTTTTTTACTCTCTGCAACTATACAGACATTCTTTCCGCCTCACAACCTAATTAAACAGATAAAAATAATTATACAATCACTTTGCACTCGTTAACTTTGTCTTGCAATTCGCGGAAATACATATCTATATAGTTGCGCAGGACGAAAAATAAAACGACATCAACATTCCAATGAAAAATTGTCATACGTTGTAATGAAGTCTAAAATTCGAGATTGTTTCTTTGAAAAATCTACATTCAAAAATTGAAAAAATACTTTTTCTTAATAACTCAATGTATTCTATATTTACCTATGCATAAAAAGTGAACAAAAAAAAAATTTCATAATGTACACATCTTAAATTATATTAAATTTAATTTATCAAATACACAAAAAAAAGGTTTATTGATTATTAGTGACATCTATTAATATATTAATAAATAAATATCATCTTTAAAATTCAAATAATTTCATATAAATATTCTCATTACTGTAAAAAGCAAATATTTTCATGTGTTAATATGATTTCATTAAAAATATATTACGCTACTATCGATGTTATCATTGTATTGCATGATGTCTATTACCAATAGTCAAAAATAGAATATCTATCTATATACATACTATTCGGTTGTTATTTCGTTTACATATTTTTTTTATTAATCTATTTTCTTGTTTTCTTCATCAATTATAAATCGAAAAGAAAAATAATAGTATTATGATCAATTGGAATATTTTCATAGAAAATTAATTTTATATCTATTATTTTAGAGATGTCTTCGTCTCAAGAACAATCAAATAGTTCTAATAATGATCAAACACAAAATATAAATCCTAATCCTCCAGGACCTTCTTCTAATATTCTATACAGCGACTATGAAGTTGATCCATCAATAGCTTCAAACAATTCGTATGTTATGATATAAAAAAGTTGATAGTTTTAATTATAACTCAATGAGAAAGTTAATTTTATGAGAGATGATTTTAATTGAAAAACTATAATCAATATGAAGAAAATTTTAGAATTATTATTTTTCATGAATTGATAAATAAATCAAAATTAAACGATGGTTATCTTTTTTGTCTATGAAAATTTCAAATAAACTTGAGTCTATAAGAACAGAAAGAAAGAAAGAAAGAAATTTCCAACCATTATCAAGTAAATAACAACATTTTAAAAGTTGCTTAATCAACTCTTTATCGTTAAAACATCATGATTCATTTGTTTTCTTTTTATCTTAAAATGTAATATATAATATAATATTTTTATATATCGTAGGTTTCAAGAAAAAAAAACAAAGGTTGTCATAAGTCAGATATATATTTTAGTAACATTTCCAGTGTATATTATTTGAAAGTAAAATTAATCATTTCAAAAAAGTAATAAAGACTTGACCTCATATCTCGTATAAATTAGTAATTAACATCATACATAATTTATTGAGTACAAAAGTATTTTTAGACGTAAATATTTATTGTATTTTTCTATACAGAAAAACATTCATATTTCTCTCGAAATTTTCTAAAAATATTGATGATACTTTTGATAATAGAATCATTATTAAAATTGACTCTTTATTTTCATAGTTCAAATCTCAATGATCAATCATCTTCTATGTCTAGTGGTCTTCCTAATGATTCAACAGGACAAATGTAAGAAAATTTCTTTATCAATATTTATAAATATGAATTCATTTGTAGACATTCTAATGATTTTATGAATCCATCATACACTGATGAACAATATCAAGGTGATGTTATTGATAATGCTGATGATGATGATATTCCAGATGAACTTGAATATGAACTTGAAGCAACAGTAGAAAGAATGACAGAGGAAGAATTAAATGATAATGATGAAGATGAAACTATCTATTCCGATGCTATACAAAATGCATTTGTTCGATATGAAAATGAGGTAGGAACGAAGAACATATTTATATTTTTTCTTTTCTCGATGATTAATTTAAATACTTATTATTATTATACCTTCAGTATTCACAACATTGGAATCAGAATAGTCCGGTATATTAGCATAATGCTTTATTTTTTTTACTAATCGAAAAAAAACATAAAACATACAAAAAAATAAATCATTTTATTTTAGATATGGAATAATTTTTCCAAAGAAGAGGTATTCACATAGCAATAAATTGCTCTGTTTTTTTTTCTAATAATAATAATAATAAATTTACATAATAAATAGATATTTTATGTTAAATATAAATTTAATATTTATTCATATCTTATTTTTTTTTTTGTCTCGTCTAGCAAGATGAAATGTTTGAACAAATGCGTGAATGTATGCATTATATGGAACAAGAATATTCTACTGCTGAAATGCCAAATAATCTGGTAATTCTTGTCATGTCGACAAAAAAAAGTCATGTTTTTTTTTTGTGAAATGACGTTGTTTGCCTTTTTCTTTTTTTTTTTTTATTAATTGTTTTGTTCATTATTTTTTAGATTGAAAGCTCACAACAAACTAAATTAAATCCTGAAGCAGCTGAATTCCGACCATTAAATTCACAACCATCAACATCAACAGATAAAGAAAGAATTGTTGTTCTATCATGGGTACCATGTGAAGCTAAAAAGCAAGACGAACAAAAGGACTTTTAAGCATTCACGTGTGCAGTTTAATAATAACAAAAAAGGCATTGTATATTTTATCGAAAAACTTCATCTGCGTATGAGTGTCACATCATCTGTGTCTATTTAATGTTTGCCTTTTTTCTGGGTTTTTTTTTCATTCTTTATATTTCTGCGCACAACTAGGAAGAGGCAATGTAATGCATACACTCAAGCTTCTTTTTTTTTTTTTATCAGAAAAGAAAAAAAAAATATTATCGTCAGCAAAACTTATGACCTTCAATAGAGTTTGAATATTTTATCGTGACACTTTTTTTTTCTTTCCTATTTCAGATAAGATGACAGTGTTTCGCCGAAAATATGACTGCAAACATTATTGTACCAAAACTTCTATTCTCTCTTCATTCTTGAATCGCTAAGAGTAATGTTTTTTCTTTTTTCTTTTACTGCAAATTTTTAATACAAAAAAAAACAGCAATAAGAATTTTTTGCGTTTCAAGTTAATGACTTTTTTGTTTAATAATATAGATATATATATATATATATTCGGTTTAATTAAAAAAAAACCGATGGCAACAGCTGGTCCTTCGAAAGTCCCACATAACTATTCTCCTGATAAATTTGTATCATCAGCTGCAAGTAATATATCATTTGATGAAAGTGATGGTTCTATTCTTATGCATGATAACAATATGAATAGAGATCCATATATTAATACACCCTCGCCCTCATCCAGTACATCGGTAAGCACAACTGATCGGTCATTTAAATGGTGTTCATCAAAATTAAAAAGTAAATTAGATTAAGAAAAAAAAAACATAATAACAACAACAATAACAAAAAAAAATTTGTTTTATTTTTCTTTTATTCATAAATAATAGATGGTTTTCGTCTACCAAAACGTCGTTATCGATATGACAAATTATTTCATCTTACACATTCACTTAATCGACAATATGTAATAGCAATGACAAATGTACTTTTTCAAATGCAAAAAGAAATTTATAAATTAAAAAAACGAACATATTATGTTGAACATGCACTTGCTAAGCAAAAAGCATCTGGTCGTCCAATAATACGTATACGACGTTTAACAAAAGGTAGAATATAATAAAAATGAGAGAAAATCAAACTTTTTGTTCTTTTACTAATGTTTGTTTTGTTTAGATGAAATTTCAACAATATGTGTTAATGATAATGGAAATCAACAAAATGTTACATCGAAAATTTCTGAAGAAAATGAAAATAATATTGAATCACAACGAACAATAATAAAAAATATCAAACCTCTAAGTAAATATTTAGATTAATATGATATTTTCTTTTTTATTTTCTTTTTAATAGATGAATATAAAATTGATACGGAAAGTTCTATAACAATAGAAAATAAACTTGAAAATAATGGTACAAAAATTCATCGACGAAAACAATTAAATCCTAAAAATAAATATTGTTCAAGATGTCAACATGAATTTGCACATCGATCAGCTTATTTACGTCATATGAGAAGAGTACATCAAGGAAAATTTACAATTATATCGAATAATAATCATACACCAGGAGTAAAATTATTCAAAAGAAAAATTAATAATTTAATTAATTTTTTTTTTTTTTTAATATAGATTGGTAATTCTCAAATTGAAACCAATACTTTAATAAGTGATCACTCAAGTAATTAATTAATTAATTAACTAATTAAAGATTCAAATTATGATGATTTTCATTTGTTTTTGTTTTTTTTATTTAGATATGTGTTCCGAAATAGATAATGCAATGGAACAAGATCCATTACCGATGTTAGTTAATCAATGGGATATTGGAGAAGGTCGGTTACGTCCAAGACCAGCGTCTAAATTACACCTTGAACCATTGAGCAAAATAAAATGTAATATATGTAACAAATTCTATCGTTCTGAATACATTAAGGTTCGTATGTATACTGTTGTTTTTTTTTCACCGATAGAGAAAAGGACAATTTATATAAACAAACAATGTCTTTATTAATTGCCAAATAGACGACTGAATTTCCAATATTTATTCTTAATATTAGATGCAAGAATTTATTTTAGTAGCGTGCATTAAGGTCTTCTTTAATGACTATACTCCGAAACCTGCAAGCGATCATTATTTATTTTGTTCCGTGACAAAACAAACCAATGTCTATTAATAAACATGAAAATACCTTCATTAAGAAAACTAATTCTATGATACTATTTAAACAACTCGTATCGCATGTTTGTCTGTATTACTACCGGTTACAGGCAGTAGATTGCCGGTCAGAGTAACCTATTGATATATCGCAGTATAATGGCGGTCAAAAGATAGTCAACCATTTAAGAATCAAACTATCACCAGTTGATTGCTGGTATATCTGTGGCTTTTGCTACTACCGATGAACACAGCCGGTATAGAGCACATTATACCGACCGTTTTTGTCCGGTCGAATGACAAGGAAAACTCATAATCTTCATTGTCAAGAAGAAAAAAGAAGAACTTTTTTGTTCTTTTTTTTCGTCAATATATGTAATCATGATGAGACATTTGAGATTCTTTCATATTATTCTCATTAAATAACAAATTCGAGTTTTTGAAGTCCTATATCGGTACAGCATTTTATATCTAAATAATACGATGCTTCAGTTTTGTGCAGCAGACTTCCATTTATACAAAGTTTTCATAGCATAAAAAAAAATATGTAATCACCTCGACATAAAATCATAAAAATGAACTATAGCAACTATTAAATATTTTCACTGTATCATTTGTTCTAATGACTCGGATAAGTTTTTCTATATGATCGTCTTATTTATTATCTATTCTTGATGTTATCAAGTAGAAATTATATTTTATAATAAAATAAAAATAAAAATTCAATATTTATTTCTTATAAATTATAATCATTTTAGAAACATCAAAGACGTACTCATCATGTAACAGAAAAATCGTCTTCAGATGAATTAAACAATAATTTAAGTTCAAATAAATCTATTAATCATGAAAATATATATGAAATTCAACCAATAGCTAGTGAATCATCTGCAAATACAACAAATCCACCATCAACATTAACAATAACTGAATTGGATACTGATGAAATGCCAATTCTATTTCGTGTATGTTTTATATTAATATAAAATATAATGAATAAAATCTTCTTTTTTTTTCTTCTTATTATTATTATTTAGAGAGATGCAAATAAACCAATTATTTTTTCTGTAACATGTCTTGAACGTGATCAATTAGTAAATTATTCTATTTTAATAATTTCAATATATATATAATCATATGAAATATTTATAGGATATTGTTAATGATTTTCTACGAAAATTTTCACCTCGTGCTTCTCAAACAACAACAATTAATTCACAAACAACACATTTAATAACAAATGATGATAAACATGCATTACATTCACCATTATCAATGAAATTAATTGAAGCTATAGCTAATCATTGTTATTGTGTTTCATATCGTTGGTTACTTGACTGTGTTAAATATGATCGAATTATTGACGAAGGTCGATATGAAATTGAAGGTGATGATACAGATTATCATCCTCAAGGTGGTCCAAAACGTTCACGTACAATTGATAAACATCATTCACTTTTTGAGAATATATGTTTTATGATAAAATGTACTGAAAATAATGAAATTCAAATGACAAATGAACGTTTACAAAGTTTAATAACAATATGTGGTGGACGAATAATAACATGTGTTACACAAAATTTACTTGATCAATTTGAAATTGTTGTTCTATGTGATAAATTATATGTATCAGAACGACGTCATAATTATGATCAATGTCATTCATTGGGTATACATTTTGTTTCATCCGATTGGGTTCTTGAATCCATACTTGAATATCGTCTAAAATTATATTCATTATATGAAGAAACACCACTATAATTGAAATTTATTTATATATTTTGTTTTGTCGTTTTTATATTAAGTACTTTTTTTGTACAAAAAAAAATATCAATCAAGATATGTTTGATTAAGAATGAACTCTTATATTTTGCTTCAGTTGTAACTTTATTCTTTTATTGTAATAGATAATAATTTTAAAAAAAAAATTACAAAAAAATATCTAATATTAATAAAAGTATGACGACAACAGCAAGTACATCGTCAAATTTACCTGATAAAGATCAAATTCGTGTACATGTTCGACGTGATGGTTCAATTGAAAGACAAAGATTTAATGGACGAGTTTGGAGACAATTATGTAAATATGATGGTGGAGAAGAATGTCAGGCATTTGTTGCTTATAGAAGTCTTTGTGTTGGACATTATCATCAAATATCAGGTATAACTGTTAATGAATCAAAACGTAGACAATTAATTCAACAATCAGCAGCTGCTGCTGCATCATCAAAGGCAACAACAACAACAATGATACCATCAAAACTTCGATGTTGTTAGTATATTTATTAATATTCAAATTTAATTAGAATGAATATTATTTTTAGCTATGGAAACACCTTTAACTCTTGGTCTTAAAAGTAGGTTATCGATTTATTTAATAATGTGTTTCTTTTTTCTTTTTGTTTGATTTATAAATAGATTGGCGACGAAAAACAGCGCAACCGAATTGTAAGTGTTATTAATGTAAAACTTTCTCAGAAACTTTACACAATCGAACAGAACAACACGAACTCATTGTCAAATTTCCAAGGTTATTGCCTAAAATAGCCTATTTTCTTACATGCAAGGGTCAGTATATTGACGATATTTTAACAATATTCAACAGTTCTTTTAAAAAAAAATTTTTATTTAACTATAATCAGTACAACATCTCTGATGAATTGATATAAATAATTCTTCTATAAATGAAAAAGACTTTTTGATTTCTGCACCGTTGAAAGGAAGTACGGAAGTCAAAAAGTCTTTCTTATGGATAAAAGAGTTCATCAAAGATGTTGTGTTGATTATAGCTAAAAAAAAATTTTAAAAACGACCTTTGAATATTATTAAACTATCGTCAATATGTCAACTCTTGCATGTAGAAAAATAAACTATTCTGGGAA